ACAATTAACAACATTATTTTCACTACCTAGAAAAACTTTGGGATTTTTTTTCTATTGTATTCTTGCAATGCAGCTGAGCAAACAGAGTGTTGAAATTAACTAGGGGTGCTTGAATTCCACTGGATGAAATTACATAAAGTCAAGCTAATTTCCTTTGCAAATGGAGGAACAACAGCAATTAGATTCGAAGTCACGATAATAGAGTAAATAGCAAACTGTTGGCTAAGCTTTCACACACATTGACTGTTAAGATTTATAATCAATTCTAATCCATAAAGGAAAGGTTCCACGCGCAGTTGCCAAAAATGTTGGATGCAAAACTACTCCAAAATGTGCTATCTTAGTGCAATGTTTATCATGACAGAAGGCAACATTACCAAACGCACAAGGAACGATCAGATTATTTGCATTTAATTAATTTGATATTTGAAATTCGGGCACTTGGCAGCTGGCATATATTTATGACCGTTGCCCTGTCTCGGGGTCATGTGATCACCATTCCCAGTCAGCTTCCACACAAGCAAAGTCAATGGGGGAAGCCAGATTCACTTAATGACTGCAGGGTTTTGCTTAGCAACTGTGGCAAACAGTCATAACATGAGACACAACAACTGCCTCGCTTAGCAACAGAAATTTGGGACTCAGCTGTGGCTGTACATTGAGGACTATCTGTAGGATGTATGTGAATGTTTTGTGAGTGGCTTCATGCTCTGGGTGGACTATCGTTCCGGGGAATTTCCTAAACTTCAGGCGTCTGCATTGTCCATGCAAGAGCATTGTCTTGGACAAGACGGGAGTCTCCAGACGGCAGCCGATGAGATAAGGAAGCTTGTTGGCCATTAATGGGTGAGACCAGAGGAGGGACGCATTGTCCATGGCGGAAGTGGGAACCACCTTTGGTCTTCAGCTCCAAGAATCGGCTCTGAAAGTGAAGTTCTTCAGCTCTTGGAATTGGTCCAGCAAGGTTACTGAAGGGACATCCTTTATGAAAGGGAAAAGATTTATTACAAGAGCAGGAATGGAGCAGCCCCTCCTGGAGCCTAGAAAACCCTGAGAAAAGTTTAGAAGGTAGTTCCTGAAGCAGCTGCCGTTAGAAGAACAAGCGCTTAAGTGGTTTCTGTTTCCTTCCTCTCTTATTTATTTCATTTGTGTCTGTCCTTTTGTCTAGGAGTCTCATGGTAGCATACGTGGTTTCCTATTCCCCTTTTGTCATCACAACTGTGAGGCTGAGAGAGATAAGGATGAGTCCTAGTGTACCGTGTCAGTTGCATGAGAACAGGGTTATTTCATTTTCAACCATGCCATACATTGGGCTCTCATTGGCGTTGGTTCACCCATTGTGCTAGGTCACGATAGGATTTGTTTGGTGTGGGTTTAGCAGACAGTTGGCAACCAATGGCCCTCCAGATGTCACTGAAGTACTCCAACTCTTCCTTCTAAAGCTGCTGGGAATTGCAGTCATCATCTGCAAGGACACAAATGATGAGTGTGTTGATTGTGTTGTGGAAAGCCAGCCAGTGTAGTCTGAAAAGTATGGTTTATGGCAGTGATGGCGAACCTTTTAGAGACCGAGTGCCCCAAAACCGCCCCGCTCCGCCCTGCCCACTGGGCCACCCACCACCTCCATGGCCTGCCACAGATCACCCAGGCAGCCCAGCAGCACCATGGTGGCTATGCTCTCCGCCCATGCCCCGCAGCATCATCTGCGCGCGACGGGGTGCAATGGCGGAGTCTTGTCCCCGCTGCCCGGCTACTATGTCCTTGACTGTGCTGCTTCGTGTGGGCTGTGCCCAGGGGCGACTCTCCTCTGGGGGGGGCTGCTGGTGAGGAGGGGGCCATGGGAGGAGGCGGGGCTGGGGAGACAGTGCATGTACCCACAGAGAGGGCTCCAAGTGCCGCCTCTGGCACCTGTGCCATAAGTTCGCCACCACTGATTTATAGTGGGATCTGCGTACTCATTTAGGGTGCTTTACTCAACAGACCATCATTTATGAATACGTGAGGCATATTTAGGCAAGGAAAGTCTACCAATATTTCTCTCCCAATTTTTATCTGACCTGATCTTATCGAAGGCTAATAGCATATTAGATGATTAGATGATGATGAGCATTTTGATCCCTGAAGTTGCTTTGAAATATAAGAAGCAGGAAAAAAAGAAGATCTCACCAAAGAATCCAGTGGGAGTTGGGTAATGAGCTTTCCAATCCATATTTGTTTCATTAGATTTATATCAGAATAACAAAATAGAGTTGGAAGGAACCCCATGCTTAGGCAGGAAGCTGATGAAGATTCTTGATTCTCTTCTTACTTGTGGATCAAAATTACTCAGTTAGCAATCTGAGCCATTGCCTCAACCACCAGGACAATATAGAGAGAATCTTCCTTGTAAAATATGAGAGTACTTTCCTAACTGCATTAGTGAGAATAAAAGCACCTTTCCTCAGTTTGTCAAAGCAGCTGCATTCTTTGCAAACAATTAAACGTTTCAAAGGATTTTATTGGTTGTCTATGTAAACGTTTACAGGACTTGTTGCTTTGTTTTTGCCAGCAGTCCAAAAAAAAAAAGTTATCTGTGCGTGGACTTGCACTTCTGGACAATCAGAGAAGCCTTGTTGAGCCTTCCTAAAAATATGGCTACTTGAATATTTGGGGGTAGATTGTTTCACTCATGCCAACACTCACTGCAAGCGCCCTTTTCAAATGCCTTACATAGTCTTAGTTATTATAAGTAGATCAAGATAATATGTATTAAATGCTTGGGATACCTAAACTCTTCCTCCTTCTGTTTGTTATTTGGGGTTAACTTGATTAAGACACTCCTTGAAAAAGAGTATTTCAGGGACCAGGCTTGATTTAACTTCTCTTCCAAGGGGAACCGTGTTTGTGCAATGGGAAATGTCATCTCATGCAGAATCTGTCAGGACAACCTATACAGTGAGATACAATCTTCTATTTCTGTATTGTGCAGAGTGCTGCTTAGCTATCCGCAATAGGCTGGAAGTCTGCTGATACAGGAGGACAAAAATATAAAAGCTTTAACTTGTTACAGAAGTGGAGAGGAATGTTGACAAGCAGCGTAGAGACAAGCAAGAGGTGAAGAGTAGGTTGTATTAGCAAGCCATAGGTTCAAGATGGACCCCTGCGGTTTTCTTCTCACAAATGATCTAATGACTATTTGGTGCCTTCGAAGTATGTTGGAGGCATCTACAAGGAGGATACCAATCGGGGAAGGCTGGTCTAGTATTTTCTGATCCTTGGGATTCTGACCAAGAATGCTGGACCATGAAGACCTTGATCTCATCCAGTAAAGCACTTATGTTCTCATTCAAGCACTCAGAACCATAAGTGCACTCCTGTTTCCATGGCGAAGCAGCCTCTGGAGGTGGAACAATAGCTCGACTATATAGTTCATCACTTTTGAGATCATGCCAAATCATAAGCCTGACTCGGGCATTATTTTAAACCAAGGAGAAATAATATATTGAAAAGCAGTGGGAATTAACACGTCACCTCTGCTTGAAATGGCCATTTATCCAGTTCCAGGACCCTTCATGGGAAGGTCTGGAGGGAAACTCTTCCCCTCATCCGTGATTCAGATAGTTGCACATACTTGATGCCTGTTGCTCTCCAAATCTCATTTGTGCAAATTTCCATGGCTTTACAATGCCTTGGTAAGGCCACACTTGGAATACTGCATCCAGTTTTGGTCACCACGATGTAAAAAAGATGCTGAGACTCTAGAAAGAGTACAGAGAAGAGCAACAAAGATGATCAGGGGACTGGAGGCTAAAGCATATAAGGAACGGTTGCTGGAATTGGGTCTGTCTAGTTTAACGAAGAGAAGGACGATGGGGGACATGATAGCAGTGTTCCAATATCTCAGGGGCTGCCACAAAGAAGAGGGAGTCAAGCTATTCTCCAAAGCGTCTGAAGGCAAGACAAGAAGCAACGGATGGAAACTGATCAAGGAGAGAAGCAATCTAGAACTAAGGAGAAACTTCCTGACAGTTAGAACAATTAACCAGTGGAACAACCTGCCTCCAGAAGCGGTGAATGCTCCAACACTGGAAGTTTTTAAGAAGAAACTGGACAGCCATATGTCTGAAATGGTATAGGGTTTCCTGCCTGAGCAGGGGGTTGGACTCGATGACCTCCAAGGTCCCTTCCAACTTTATTATTATTATTATTATAAAGCTGCCAAGGTGGAGAAACACCATATTAGCCTATTCAGCTAGATAAAATCTGGGAAGAGAATACAGACTGCCTACCCCTTGTTTGAAAGTAGACCTACAAAGAGCTGTAAATTGCAGAGAGCTGGGTGTTTCTACAAATCATCCTCGTGCCAAATTTTTTTTTTTAAAAAAATCTGGCAGATGCCAAGTCCTGTTTAGTCTGTCCAGGCCACCTTTTATGTGTCAGTAAAAATACTTTAAAGGAGCTTGTGGTTATTGCACCTGACAAACAGATTTGTTGAAATGTGTCAGATGATGTAAATTGCTTCTTTGAATTCTCTGGGTTGCTGTTTGACACTCGCAGTCAGTCTTTGCTTTGCACTTAATCATCGAGTTTCGGTTTTTTGAAGGTTTTCTTCCATCGAGGAAGACGGTTTTGTTTTGTTTTTTACTTCACCCTTAAGTTATTTTTGTGCAACCATTTTCCTTTGGGTTCAATTGATCTATGGGAATATAAGGGAGGTTGCAAATTCTAAAGAGATCATTGCACAGTCCAAACCGTCATGATAAGAAATAATCTTTGTTCAGATTATAACTAGGTTAAATAATAGCACTCTACTGAGCAAAAATCACACCAAGATGTTCTTCTCGTTCATGATGGATAGGATTGACTGCTATGGTTGGTATTGTGCTGCACTGCATGAATCAAAGGGAACCAACATCATCCTGGCCGTCCTCAAGGGAAGATAAAACAGAGTCAGAAAATCAACCCATGATAAGCCATTGTATTATTCACGTTCATCATTCTCTCCTCTCTCTGATTCGCAGGAGGTGGAGGGAAACGGAAAGGAAGGAGCAAGAAATGGAGAGAGATCCTCAAGTTCCCCCACATCAGCCAATGCGATGAGCTCCGGAAAGGGTTGGGTAAGTGCAGCATGAGACGGAACCAGTCGGCTCTTGGTGATGAGCATAGCTTCCCTTGCCTCATCAAAGTAGGATTTCATATATCAGTGGTGGCGAACCTATGGCACGCGTGCCAGAGGCGGCACTCAGAGCCCTCTCTGTGGACACGTGCACCATGCCCTGGAGATGGCAACCATCCCTCTTCAACCAGCCGCCTGCTAACTCGCTGAGGTCTCACATGGCCGGATGCATCCCAGTATGGCCGGTTTCCCTCGCCCCCGTCCCGTCCCATCCCTCCTGGCCTCACATGCTCTCCTTTTCCCGGGCACAACCCACTGCATCGCCTCCTCAGCTGTCGGCCGGCCGTCCAGCTCAGAGGCGGTTTCTCTGGACTGCTGGCAATGGGCTGTGGAGCCCCAGAGTGCGCTGGTCGATGGGCTGGCAGGCTGTGGCTGCTGACGGACACTGTCGGCCCCATGCGCTCACTGGCCTCTGTGTGCGGGGGCCAATGGTGTCAGGCAGCAGCCGCCCTGGGCCCTGCCTCGCCTTGCCCTGCGACAATGGCACCCCCACCCTGCCTTGCCTCACCCCTCCTGCCCACCGCCCACCTGCCAGAGACCCCCTGGATCTCCCCCAACCCTGCCCGGCCCCCACAGGCATCCCTCCCCACGAGCAACATCGAGGTGACCACACCCACCTTGGCCACACCCACCCAGTCTGCCATGAGCACAGCCACGCCCATCCAGTGGGTCACACCCACCTGGCACCCGGCAATAAATAAGTGGGTTTTGGGTTGCAGTTTGGGCACTCGGTCTCTAAAAGGTTCGCCATCACTGTCATATATCATCAATTCCCAATGGAAAGCCAAATGGGTTGGTGAACATCCGGACATAGATTGACCTGTAAATGACCCCACGCGAAAAGGTGCCAGGCTTTGAACTTGAAAAATAAAGTGGGATAACAGAGAACTACTGGACTAAAGTCGTTGTGACTTAATGACTGAAGGGGGAGAGGTCTTCCCACTCCTAATGCAACACATAACTGCTGTACTATACTGATCATCAGAGGGAAGTTGGAAATGACTCCCATCATGCTTACCGTGTGATTTTTATGCATCGAATCATCTTCAAGTCATCTCTTTCCAACAACTTCTGAGAGCTTTTTTTTTTTTTTAAAGTGAATCAACATAAAAAGTAATTTAATATCCTTGGTGGTTGTGCGGTCTGATCTCTGACTTCAAGTAAGCTTACTGTTCTCCCAAGTCCTTGCAGACTATTAGAGATTCTTGGGTCTGCCCCCATCTTCTCATACTTCAGTTTGTTCCCAGAAAGAACATGCTGGGATGCAAATGGGAACATGTTCCTACTGCTTGAAAGTATGTTTGCAAAAGAGTCTAAGGGAAAGTTTGTGAAATGGGGAATGTGAAGGAGTTGGGCAAAGGCAGATGGGCAGGACGTGATTGTGATAACCAGATGTGGAAGGCACCATGAGCACCTAAGTGCAAAAAAGAACTGGCCTTCTCAGTACCTGAAAAGCAAGTTGTGAGAATCCAGGTTTTATTTTTCAGGACTGTGAAATGTCCTGGAAAATGTCCTCTTTGTTTGATGCGATTGCTTGAAGAATTTGCGTTTCGGGATCAGCTAAGGCATCATCCCAAAGCTGAACAGTTTTGTAGCTAAACAGACAAACTAGGATTTAGAGTTTCTTTTCTCCTTTCATATGCTCAGAATTCAGGTGTGTAATGATAATTTCCAGCATCATCATCTGTATTCACACATCACACTAAAAAAAATAATGTGGCTTGTTCGTTATGCGCTTATAGAATGAGTCCAGCCGTTGTCATTTTGAAATCATAATTAATGGGTTAGAAGTATTGCTTATTTTAATAATCAATGTTAAGCACACTGTGGTTTAAAACCGTGTTTGAATTAGCACACACCATGGACTTCAAACTCATAACAAGACTTGGTTTCATTGTTTGAGAGACATTCAGATAATTCTGGCTTCAGAGCAAAGCAAATCCAAATCCGAATCTCATGAACTATGATCTGATCTGAAATCTAAAAATAGCCCTCTTCTTTGGGGAATTGTGTGCATCTTTAGCTACAAATATTTACAACCATGCTGGCTGGGAAATTCTGGCAGATGAAGTCCACAAGTCTTCAAGTCGCCAAAGTCAGACACCCCGGCTTTAAAAAATGCCATTCCAATTGGCTGCATTTGAAGTAAGAAGGTCACTCTTGAGAGGCCCATGGCCCAGAACTTGTCTACTTGCAAGTGACAATAATTCCTTCTCCATATCTTCCTTTGTAGAACGAGATTACAGCAGCTTGTGTGACAAGCAACCCATCGGCCGACTGCTTTTTCGACAGTTTTGTGAGACCCGGCTGGAACTCTTACGGTGTATCCACTTCCTGGATGCTGTGGTAAGGCGAACACAGTTTCTGAAGTGTGTCTGGCTCTACTCAGCCAGTCCTTAAGGGACAACGAGGCCCCTTTTGGCAACTCCTATTTAAAGTATCTCCAAACTTTGGAAGGCAATAGATTGATGATGAAATGTCATAACTCAGCAGCAAAGTTGATGGAATCCTTGGTTACTTCGAGTCTGGAAGAGTGACGGGAAAGGATCCTTGACACCAAATGCCACAGTGAGCTAGGTGGACCTGCTGTTTAATTAAATAAATAATGTTCAACCAGGAATGGTTTAGCTGGCTGCAAAATACCCGCCTTACATGCAGTTGGTTGTGGGTTTGATCCTAGGGGTCTCCACTGAAAACAGGTGGGATTTAGTGGCACATGTGAGGACAAAGATCCTTTGCCAAGCACTCTGGAGAGTTTGCTTCAGCTTGATCCTTCATCCTTTGAAACCAGTTGGAAGCTGGAGAATCCATCATGGGTGTTTCTCATGGTAAAATGGCTGTCACCTAAGAAGCTGTTCGTGTCCAGGCCTGCATGAGCCAGTGTGGCTGTTTATCACCAGGCAAAATGATGAAATAATAATAATTAAAAAAAAGCTTAGTAAGAAGGCTGGGATGGAACTGAGGTGCCAAAACATGTATTGGCACTCCCACAAGACTTCAGAATATCTGTTTCCCAGAAGCTATGGCAGTGACACTCAGAAAACACCCACATCACAAGCACATACACATATCTAGGTAAACCACACAGTGCACACTCTGGCATACCTATAAAAATATTCTACAACCTCGTTTATTCTTAAATCTTTCACTTATGACCCCAAGCTTATATCTGAAGCCTATGATTTTATATTTGAGGAACTTCAAGGGGAAAAAATACCTTTCATCTCTGCCCATCATAAAGAGGAGGTGGTCTCTTATGGGGGGCTTGGAATTTCCCATCCATCTTCTCCCAACTAGTTAGCAAACAAGTTAATAACTTTCATGACTTTATTCACACGGCTGCTTTAATAACTACTCTGTGGGAAATCCCTTCCTAGATAGGGATATGTATTTGTAACTTTTTAGTTCCAAAGTAAGCTTTGGAACTTAAAGAGGAAGTACAAAATCAGTCATTCTTTTGAGATATTCTGCTCGCCAAAATTCTGATGGCGACATTTTTAATTTTCTCTGTCTTTTACGAACCTTCTTCCTGTCAGTACTTGATTTTCTCGTAGAGGGAAGGCAACTTTAAAAAAAAATTAAAAAAGAGGGGACGGTGGGGGGGAAAAAAATTCCCAAATTCTTGCCGAGTGACCTCTGGGAGAAGATCAGAAAGGCGGGTGTGTTTTTCAACCCACTCTAAAGTCAACGGTGCAAAAAAATGCCATTGGGATGACGTGTAATTTAAAAGTCAGTGCTTCATCTGAAATACTATCCTGGTGTTTTTGTGGGTTGCAACCCCCACTCCCGTCTTTCTTTTGAAAATTTTGCTAAGCCTGAAAGCATCTTAACCTCAAGCAGAACAAATCATAGCTTAGGGTTTCTTCCATGCGTTTTCCTCTCTCAAGTTCCTTCCTTCCAGTCTCTCCTGAACTAAAGCAAATTTACAATCAGAAATTGATCTGTTTTTTGCTCCTGGGCCAGGAAGCCTTTTCAGATGCTTTTGAAGAAGGAACATCAGCCTCATAAAAGACTCTGTGTTTCTCATTACCAAACTGTTTATGCAATTCAACAGTTGTTCTCCCCTCTCCCTCTCCTTTCCTCTCAATGGAAGGCAGCTTGTGGAACCTTTTTCTTATTTTCATAAGCTCGTTGGATGTGAGTGACAGGAATGCCGATCTGGTCAGCTGGCTGCAAAATGGGAAACACATGCTTGGAAACCAATCCCTCTGTAAGGTTTGGACTCTTTCAGCCAGCAGAAGGCTGAGTGATAAAAAGTCATTGTTTATTTAAATTCGGTTCAGGAACTTGACCAGCCCAGGGGATCTTTTCTCAAGGAAATTAAAACTGGTGAGCATCAAAATGCTTTAAGAGGCGTGTTGAAGGATCCGGAAGGATTTATGCTTTTCATTTTTCAGAGTTCAGCACCCTGTTTTTTTCCCCATTCTTGTTTCCAGGTTAATAGAAATGGATACAGCTACAATTCCAAGAAATCTGTCCCTGGTTTGTTGTTTTGTGTATGTGTGTGTGTGTGTGTGTTTAATCAACCTTTATAGCATGAGAAGCTACCAGAATCGCTTATATAATAGCAAAAGTTGGAAAGCTCTCAGAATTGTGGTCTAAAAAACCCTCCATACAGAGCTGGAAAAATAGACCAAAAAGGCAGGGGAGGTACCAACCAGGTACCAAATGTTAAAATGCTATGGTTGCTTTAATGGAATTGGGCTGCTTTTAGAGGTTCTAGGTGACACCTTTATCTCCAAACTCAACAATCCAGTGGCTTTATCATGCCAAACGAACAACCTTAATATTGTTTACAGCAGGTAGAGATTTTTCTTTGCCTCTTAGGTTTCTTTCGGCACCTTTGAATCAGAGTTGATTCCTGATGACTACCTGGACACGTCCATGTAGTTTTCTTGGCCAGATTTCAGAAGTGGTTTGCCATTGTCTTCTTCCTTGGGTGGAAAGCAAGTGACTGGCCCAAGCTCACTCAGCTGGCTTCATGCCTAAGACAAGAGTAGGCAACAGTTTCTTGGTTTCTAGCCTGGTGCCTTAACCACTAAACCAAACTAACTCTTTCAGTGGTCTAACTAGGACTAAAATTATGGTCTCAGAAAACTTTTGCAGCATAGCACTCTGCAGTCAGCTTTACCATTTCCTACCGGCATTTTCAGTAGCTAGAAGTGCAGAATAGGATTATTCAATTCGCTTTCCTGGAGTTTTTTTCAACAAACAATAGGGAATCATCTGATATGTGTTAGTGCAAGGCAAAATGTCTATGGAAAACGGTCTCAAAGGTGCTTTTTCAAAAGGCAATGGGACTGTTTTTTGTTTTTGTTTTTTTGAGGAAGAAGTTGGTTCACTTCTCATCCAAGAAGCTTCTTAAGTGCAAGTTTAGATTCTTATCCAATAGTGAACAATCTGAACAAGACCAAAATATCTTCAGGCTGATTTAATATAATAGTTGAGTATTGCAGAAATGGTTTTACTGGGTTTAGAATTGTTTCATAAAAAAGCCTTCCAGCTGTAATGTCCTGNTTTTTTGAGGAAGAAGTTGGTTCACTTCTCATCCAAGAAGCTTCTTAAGTGCAAGTTTAGATTCTTATCCAATAGTGAACAATCTGAACAAGACCAAAATATCTTCAGGCTGATTTAATATAATAGTTGAGTATTGCAGAAATGGTTTTACTGGGTTTAGAATTGTTTCATAAAAAAGCCTTCCAGCTGTAATGTCCTGCTTTTTTTCATATGTCCATCTCACATCTGGAAATTGCTGTCTGGGCTCGCCTATTGTCCTTTAGTCATGGTTTCTTGAATAAGCCACAACTGGCTGAATTTACATATATTGCAGATCCATAGATCATAGTCTAAATACATTATTTTTAGGCAACCCCGACTGCTCTTTAGAAGTTTAGAAGGCCAGATCCTGAAGTTGAAATTCAAGTACTTTGGCCACCTAATGAGAAGGGAGGACTCACTGGAGAAGGGCCTAATGCTGGGAAAGATGGAGGGCAAGAGAAGAATGGGACTGCAGAGAATGAGGTGGATGGATGGAGTCACTGAAGCAGTAGGCGTGAGCTTAAATGGACTCCAGAAGATGGTAGAGGACAAGAAGGCCTGGAGGAACATTGTCCATAGGGTCACGATGGGTCGGACATGACTTTGCAACTAACAACAACAAAGCATGATAATCTCAAACCAAACAAATCACACTGTATGAACTCACTGTGTTCATAGAGAGCAGTGCTAGGTCTGAAGTTGGTGGCGGATTTAACAGGATGCCATCTTAGATGCCTCCCATCTCAACATCCAACAGCACAAAGACTTGTCATGTTACCAGAGATTGCCATGTTTATTTTGACATCTGCCATTGTGTGTTTGAATTTAACCCATAATGCACTGGACTTATAAGTTTGAACCCATTGCAGTTAGGAAAATAAAACTGGCAGAATAACTGGGTGCTGCTAGAAGAAGAATTTTACAGGTATCATCAGCAATGGAGGCTCCGGTCTGTATCCAGACACACCTGTAATAGGATGCCAGAGGCATTGTTTATAGCTTGCCCAGAAATCATTGGTGCTCCATCTTTTATGGTCTTACTGAAGGCAGTTTCAATGTGTTCTTAGTTAATAAATTTTCTGCCATGATAGGGTGTTTTATCTTTTCATCAGATTTTAGCTTTTATCTGCTGCTGTTTCCAATTCCTTTCTTTGATGATGATGTCGGAATGTTATTTTATATCAGAAGCGTGCCATTGTTCTTTTAATTTGTGCCCTGCTTTGTTTGCCCTTGGGGCAGGGGAACAGGTTAAAAATAATTAATTTGATGGGTGGGCTGATAGATCCATCTCCTTGTACTTCCTGCTGTTTTGTTTTGTTTTTGTTTTTGTATGTGTTCACTCACTGGCCAGGCTTCATCCATCACCAAGTTACTTGTGTATGCATACAAGTTCCCAATCCTGTGGCAGATTTGGGGGTCTTCTAGCAAATCATTATCCCATGATTAATTTGTGACTCAAAAGCGCAGGGTGTTTAACCACCCAGCCTTAGGCTTTTTCCATTCTTCTCCCTTCCTCAAAGTCTCCCCAGACCCAGGTTTCTTCTCCTGCTTCTCCAGCAGCTGAGAGTCTTGTACAGTAGCAATATGGAGGAGCGTTCCTCAAGCACCCATGTAACTGGTGATCCTCCAGCTACTTCTCTAGGGAATTGTTGTACATGCTTTCCCATTCGTTTCTCAACAAAAACACAGATGTCACTTGAGCCTGGAGAGTAGCAATGACCTGCAAGTCATCCCAGTGACATGGACCTTCTAATTTGGATCTTCCTGTTTTTAAGAACATTGGAGGGGCGTTAGGGCAATGTATTAAAGGCAGAGGGGAAAAGAAATTCACCTGTATCCACCTGCTTTGATTGGCCACTTGAGGTCCACCTCCCTTCTCTTGCGGTTGAAAGCACTTTCATACTTGACGTTATCGCCATGGTCTGCTGAAATGGGTTCCCGTCTGCTGCATGCTTGGCCAATTTACCTGCCTCTCCCCCCCCTCCCCCCACTATTGGGATGAGATGAGGAGTCTTGTTTCTCTTTGGTTGCTTAGCAGCAAACCCTGTTCCAAAACAATGGGGAGGGAATCTGTGGGTCAGATTTTTTAATAGCAGCAATGTGTGCTCTTCTCCACTGTCAGGCAAACAGCTTGTGGTCCTGTGGAAATAAGCCAGGAAAGGGAGGGAGGGGACACTAGAGAGACCAAAAGAATGTGGGAGGGGAGGGGCTAAAGGGAATCACAGACAGGGACTTTAAGCTTGAATCCAGAAGCAGAGTTGAATGCAGGACCACACTTTTGGCTTCAGGTTTCAGTTCCAGGAGTTCCCTTTAGAAGTCCACACTGGGAGATGCAAAAATCCTTGCTTAGTTCTTGGTAGGGTTGAGTACGAAGCATTTCTTCATCCCTACAGTAGCATCGGTGCACAGATTATAATACTTTACCATTCTATCATAAGAACCTCAAGTTCCTTATTTTTCCCCACATTTAGCTCCCACAATCCAGCCTAACAGAACATAGTCATTTTGCCTACAGTTTTGAGTGGGATGTGAGCCTGCTAGAATGTCCACAGGTCCTGGTCACTCTTCAGTCTTGTCCTGGATCAGCTCTGAGCTAGATGAGGACGTGTATCTTGAAATTCCCAGACATTTGCAATTTGACTATTTCAGACTCAGGCTAAGGAAATGGTAAAGGTCCATTCTTGAGGCCATACTTGGTCTTGGAGGACGTTGGGTGTTCATTCCTTAGCATCTTCAGATGCCTTGGATCCTTAAGGACCTCACCCATCTTTGCTGAGCTTGAAAAAGTAAGCAGGATGAGATCTGGTTAGTATTTGGATGGAAGAGATCCAGAAGTCTTAAGATCATGGGCTAGTCTTGGTAGTCAGTAGAACCTCCTAGTAGAAGTTTGATCCAACTACTTGGTATTTTTGTCTTTTCTGTTTATTTTAGACCAAGCCGCATCCTCCCCCTGAGACTCTAGCACAAATAAGTATGGAAAATTGGTGACATTCAAGTCACCGATTTATATTTACTTGTATTTATACAAGTAAACCAATTTTGCAACATCCGCATGCGTTTCATCACAGTTGTCATTGTGAACCAGTCGAGAAAATGTGTTCCATCCATAGTCCCAGGCATCTTGTTGATTAGTGAGCTATAAACATCCCCTTTCCCCCAGGAAAAATCTCTAGTATTTATGCTTTCCCATCTGTTATTTGCTCATACCCCGAAGTCAACCGGGGCTGTGAAAATCTCATCTGGCATCTGGTGCACAATATCCCCAAAGTTGCTTATATCCTTGATATAGGACGACTTGTGCCAAAAGAGAGCTGTTTTCAGTCCATTGTGTCATCTCCATGTATATGCACTTAGGTCAACATACTAAGGAAAAGACACTGAAACAATGTGATACTAGAGAAAAGCAAACCTAGAACTATTTTTCACTATTGAAAACTAGCAGTATTCCAATATCTCAGGGGCTGCCACAAAGAAGAGGGAGTCAAGCTATTTTCCAAGGCACTTGAAGGCAGGACAAGAAGCAATGGATGGAAACTAATCAAGGAGAGAAGCAACCTAGAACTAAGGAGAAACTTCTTGACAGTTAGAACAATTAACCAGTGGAACAACCTGCCTCCAGAAGCGGTGAATGCTCCAACACTGGAGGTTTTTAAGAAGAGACTGGACAGCCATTTGTCTGAAATGGTGTAGGGTTTCCTGCCTGAGCAGGGGGTTGGACTAGATGACCTCCAAGGTCCCTTCCAACTTTATTATTATTATTATTAAAAGAAAAAAAATGCTTGCAGTTTGACCCATTCCAGGAAGCATACAAAATACACCGATTTGTAAAGATGCCCAAAATTATATATACATTTTTCTCCTGTCCCATATATAAATATACCGATCCATACTTGCATTTGATAAAATGAGAATATTGGTTCAATTGTCCATCATCTGACTCTGAAAATTGCTGCTTAAGAGTCGATGTTGGCCCACCCAGACGTCTGAGAAATAGGCTGATTCTCACAACCTTCTAAGCCCCTTGAATAAGCCATACCTCAGTTGGCACAATGTGAACACCGTCAGTATAAAGCAGCCTTCAATTCCCAACAGTAACTCGTGTCATGTTTTGTTCTTTACTAGTTCTCCAAGCAGTTAGTACTTGATGACTTTTGTTTGAGCTCAGAGAAAAAAGGAGAGGTGCTGGCTTCTTCTCAAGTTAATCAAGAAACAGTCCATTTCCTTTGTCTGCAAGAGTATTGCAACGAGAGGGCAAGGGGAAGACATAGAGAAGTCCATTCACATAGCTGATGCAATAATACACATCTGTGGGTGTGGAATTTCTTGACGACTGTGGCTGGCCAACAAGCCGGTTATTAAATGCAAAACAGGAAAAAAAAACATTTCTCCAGAACTGCACCTGAAACATCACTATTGCAACTCAGGAAATGTTGTTAATTCTGGGAAAAGCAAGAAGGAAAGGCATCAATGTTTCATCTGTTGACGCACAACTTTATATCAGGACAGAGGTCACTCCAGGTTCTTCTCCGTGAAGAGCCACTTGACCTTTTAAAAAATGAAAGGAAAAAGCTGGAAGACCTCAAGGACCGAGTGGGTGATCTAGCTTCGAGCCATGTGGTTTGTGAGCCAGCAAAGAATGAGGAGAAACATACAGGCTTAACAAAACAAAACAAAAAAAACCTGACAGAACCAAGAAGTGCTCCTCTAGATGTGTGGGATAGATGGCCTCCAAGATAATGTCCTTTTCAGGTGGAGCTTCTGTTCTGGTGACCCTCTTTTCTTCTTTCCCAGGCAGAATATGAGCTTTCTCCAGATGAGAAGCGCAAGGAAATGGGAGATGAGGTCATGCGGCAGTTTTTCAACAAGGAGGTCAGTATATCATCTTCAGGTGAAGGTTGAGAGGGTCCTTGTTGAAAAGGTGGTTCGAATTCCAGAAGTGTAGCTCAGGGCTTTTCAACCTTTACACCCATTGTACCACTTTGGGATAGGGCAACATCCGAGGACCACCAGTCGCCTAGCAAGGCGTCAAAAACTTGATGACCAAAAAAAAGGAAAAAAGTGATAAAGTACAGGTAGTCCTCGACTTACAACAGTTCGCTTAGTGAGTGTTCGAAGTTACAATGGCACTGAAAAAGTGCCCCCCAAGTCACAGCCGAGCAAGACACCTGCCTGCCCACCTGGCGGCGTTCTTCCTCCTGTCCGAGGTTTTCATTGTTGTGAGCATTTCTGTTGGGGATTGGCAGCGGAGGTGGGGTGGGGGGGTGTTTGGTTTTTATTCCCCCCGTCTGCTGGGTGGTTGCAGCAGGTTTTGGTCACTTCACATGACCCTGGGACACTGTGACCATCATAAATATGAATCAGTTGCCAAGCATCTGAATCTAAATCACAAGACCCTGAAGATGCTGCAACATTCCAGCTGATCGGCGCTTCTTCTGGGCTCAGCAGAAGCGCCAGGATCAGTGCCAAGCTCCAGTTGGAGCCTGGCGCTGATCCTGGCGCTTCCGCTGAGCCCTGAGAGCCCTGCAGCTCCAGCCGTCTCTCGTTCAGGCTTGTGCGGTGCTGCCACCGGTTCAGCTCATTCCCCTCCCCCGCTACCACTTTTCTGGGATGGTCGCATACCACCTGCCAGGTGCCAATGTACCACAGGTGGTACCCATACCACTGATTGAAAAGCCTTGGCATAGCTAACAAATGCTAGAATCTGTAGGAACTTACATTTCCTTTCTCTGGATTGCCCCATTTTTCTTCTTCCAGCCAGGTTGGGTAAAAGTGCCAGGATAATTTCAAAGGATGTGATCCTGGCTTTTAGAGTATCCCTGATTTTAAGAGTCCAAACACTGAATAATCCTGAAGAAACTTCCCCAATCAGTTGGCTAAATTCTAACTGCCCTTCTTTTAGCAAACGGAAGATGACTAACTGGAGAAGGCTGCTCTATGAACCGAGAGCAGAGACTTCAGAAACATTTAGGAAGTGTTTATTTTACCCCAAAGAGGAGTCAAAGTAGGGAGTGAAGGGCAGAGAAGAATAAGAATTGAAATCTACTGACAGAAGAGAATATTTGTAACTCAGGGTTCAGCTGTAGAGTCCTTCATGTTCTATGAGCTTGGTGGTCTTCTTGCAGACATTTCATTACTAAACTAAGGAGCATGATGGCTCATGTGGTTGGGACCCTGGGTTGGGCGTTAGCAAACCTGTGTTTGAGACCCAAGTGCTGCCACGGGGTGGGGTGAGCTCTCATCCTTTGCTCCAGCTGGGGACATGAAAGGAGCCACCAACTGTGCATCCCCTTGGCAATGGGATGTCACTGGCTAATCCTTTCAACCCAGAAGCACCAAGTGCAAATTACTAAACTAGGTGACATCATCAGAGCACCACCAAGGACCCCACCGAATTGAAATCTAGTGTGCCAGAGGGTTCACCGGCATTAAGAATTATTAAGCATTTGTTTATGGTTGGTTTCCTTCTTTTTATGTGTATGAGTTTAGTCCCTGGGCTATATGGCAGAAATTGGTGAACTTCTTGCGAACCAGTGCATAGAAGACCTGCAGAGAAGCCCTTGCAGGGACCTCTTTGGCAGCTGTGTACAGTAAGTACTGCACCCTCAAGATCTATAAGCGAGAAGGGCAGCGGGGTGGTTTCTGGTCAGGACAAGCGTGTATGCACAGATGCGTAGAAGTCCCATTTGTTGCATGATAAACCAACCTCCCCCAATCTAGGAACCCTTCCAGATGTGTAGACCAACCGCAGAGTTCCCCAACCCAAGTGACCATGGCTGAGAATTATGGGAGTTGAAATGTATGAGTGGAGGGTGCCCAGTCGCAGAACATTGGGATAAAACATGGTTACCTTATCCATAATTTGCTCTAAAGAAGATAGCTGCCATCAATCATGGTTGACGTTGGCTTGTTTTAAAGTCAGATGGTAATTAAAATAACCACAATTTGTTGGGTTCAAATAATGTGGCTGGATGTGGCTAATACACTCATGCGACACACTTACTCATAGTTAACCATACTGAACTCTGTCCAGTTTTCTGGGTTCATACACTACAATAATTCATAACCACACAGGCTGAGTTTGCACAAATGCTATATTGAAATGATTTTGGGCTTAGTGTGTCATATAAAAGAGCCAATAACTCCCAAACTCTTTTTTTAAAAATGTGTCCGCAGTGAAGGAAAGGTGTGTATGAGCTGAATGGAAGGCTGAATTCATTCCTTTTACAATGAACTCAAAGAAAATTACTTAGTGTAGTTTTTTGCTAATTACCTATTCCTCAGCTACATGAAGGCATCGAACCGAAGAAAGCTGATTTTTGTGTGTGTTAACCAATTTGTAGCCAGTTAATTCAATAATTTTCTAAATGGCATTTTACATCAAACTAAAGTCTATTTAGCCATGCATAAACCATAGCTTATTGAATCCATATGTCACACTAGGGAATAAATCATGGTTTACACACCATGACAATTGAGTCCACAATCCTGCTATCAATCTCAAACAAACCTTATTTTGGCTTAGGGATGAATGAACCCGGCTAAGTGATGCATCTTGCATTTGATAAGAAAATCATCACCAATCAAGGCTGAACTGTATTTCTCGCCAATGAATTCCAAGGTGGACCATCATGGGCAGACGTAGCTTTAAAGCCAAAAGAAAAAAAACCACTGGTCTTATATATATATAGCAGTGTTTCTCAACTTTGACAACTTTAAGATGTGTGGACTTCCACTCCCATAATTCCTTAGGTAGCACGCTGCCTGGAGAATTCTGGGAGTTGAAGTCCATGCATCTTAAAGTCACCATGGCTGAGAAAGACTGCAGTGGAGAGCATCCAATTATTAATCACAAAGAAGCTTCCTTTGTAAATCATAGGGGGGAAAAAACACCCACTTTCCATTCCTCTTATCTCCTAGGCGCCTGCATGAATACCTGAGTGGTGCCCCTTTCACAAATTACCAGGACAGTATGTATTTTGACAGATTCCTCCAGTGGAAATACCTCGAGAGGTAAGACAATAACCATGAGTGGCTGGAATACAAGAATGCAATTCGCTGAGCTGTTGCTGATAAGAATGGGTCTTCAATGATGCAATGTGATCTTCTTAATATCTTTAGGCAATCCGTGACCAAAGACACCTTCAGACAATACCGGATCCTAGGCAAGGGGGGCTTCGGAGAGGTAGGAAGTGGTGACAGCTTGAACTTGTTGACCCCATTAGGGGTCAGAAGTAGCTTTGGATTCCTGTAATCTCAAATTCATTACGATTTGTCTCTTTGGCTTCAGTTCTAACTAGGGATGGGTGAATTTGCCAGATTTGCTCAGGTGTTGTTGTTGTTTTTTTAAGCCTATTTTGGCTTTCGTCTGTATCAGTCCACAAACTTCCTCAAACACAATTAGCACTTTTCCAAATTTGTCTGCTTTTGGGAGGGGGGGGCATTGTTTGAATTACGAACAGATCAAGACATATTGGAAGGTAGAAATGGTGTCATTTAAGTGGGCTGCATTTGGGCTCTAGGTTTATGAAACGCGTACGGGTTAAGTTTTCGTCAAAACGAATCAAACTGATGTGTCTGCTGTGCCTACCTATCACCCTTCTGTTATTGCCTGTCGAATCGTCATAGCCGTTCCTAGCAGTGAGCGTGAGAGGCTCGCTGTTGCATGTGCAGAAGCTGTTTCAGACCAGGATAGAGGCAAGTGGCCAGTTTGTGAGCACAAATGTCTATGGAGATTCTCAGTCATCCAGATCATGATTGCCCCAAAGGTGCTTTTCAAAAGGCGACTGGAATTCCTTGTTTCTCTTTGAAGAGGTTTGGCTTATCAACTGAGAAGCTCCTTCAGCTCTGACTGGATGGTGGGAATGGATCTCAGCTTTCATCCTTCAGATGTTGCCCTCTAGTCAAAAAATGCCTTCAAGATCGCTTGAGGAATTATCTATTCTAGATCAAAGAGAGATAACTTTTCCTGTCCTGCTTTGCCTTCTTGCTTATCTAAAGCTGTTTTCATGAAGATATATATATTTCTTCAAGTGTTTTTTTACATAATTATCAAGGCAAGCAACCATCGTGTTTGTGTATAATAAGTAGCTTGGCTGAAGGGGAATTTTGATAGGGAAAGTGAGATCTCTGATGATTCTGATCTGATGTTTAGAGAACCTCTAGAATACATGCCAGATTCTGAAGTCATCATTATACCTTTAAGGAAGACTTGGAGTTTTCACTTAGCAACGAGGAAGAGCTTTAGAATAGAATAGAATATCTTTATTGTCATTGTGTAACTCACAATGAAATTAAGCATTAATAATTTTTATTATTATTATTACTATTGATCATCGCACAGTCAGATGTTCAGACTGGATTTGGCATTTTTGTCTACCTATCGAGTCCTTACCAAGGACCTGGGATAGGCAGATGTGGATGTTTGATGGTATTACAGATATCATCGCAGGATGGAAGCAGTTCCTAGTAAGGCCGCCTTTTGCAATTGACTAATAGCGAATTTGTCAATGCCAATGGTGTTCAAGTGGTGCTCCAGTTGTTATTGTTGCTATTATTATTATTAGTAGTAGTAGTATTATTCTATACTTTGAGTAAAGTAGTATTATTCTATACTTTGAGTAAAGTATTCTATACTTTACTTTGAGTAAAGAGGAAGTGTCAAAATGCAAGAATAAAATGGGGCTACCTTTAAAAGAGTAGGGCTTCCATCAGTAACACTACTGCAGTGTCACTAGCAACCAGTAAATGTGCCCCTGACAATCCCACCTTTTCTTGCCTTTAGGTTTGTGCATGCCAAGTGCGTGCCACAGGGAAGATGTACGCTTGCAAAAAGCTGGAGAAGAAGCGCATCAAAAAGCGGAAAGGGGAGGCGATGGCTCTGAATGAGAAGCAGATCTTGGAGAAGGTCAACAGCCGATTTGTGGTGAGCAACAGTCCTGGCTGTGCTGTTGACAACTCCATTTGGGATTTGGCCTTTAGAAGACTGAAATATCCAAAGACGTCTGTTTGCTAATGCCATTTGGCTCTGCATTCTGAGGGGAATTTCACAGTATCAGATTCGGCCTGGTTGGTTAGCTGCAGTTTTTGACCTTGATAATTAAATGAAGCTTCTTGAATTCAAAAGCAAGGGTCAAGTATGTTTTAGGGACAGCCCAGACCAGTTTTAACATGTATCTTCTCCAGATATAATTGGGCAAATCATGTTGTACCCAAATAATACTTCCAGTTCTTAGAAATTACTTGACCCGTGTGACTTTTAAAGTAGCCCTATCATTTTTCAGACTTCACTCATCTGAAAGAGAAAAAAAATGTGGCTGCTTTAATGAGTAGCAGACTAGCTTGGACTTGCATTCTGGAAGACATCAACAGATTCATTCTCAAAGCATGCATTTTCTTATTAAATAAGAAAATAAGGCAGCTCACTGTATTCCTAAACTATTGAATGCCATACTGTATGTTTGTGGAAGGGGATAAACAGATGGAAGATTATTGCTATTTATGTGTTTCTGGATAGTTGGACACTGTAGAAGCAGAATTCTGGAGTATACTTGGAGTCAACTGCTCCTTTTATTCATCTGTGCCAACAGGTCAGTTTGGCTTATGCCTATGAAACCAAGGATGCTCTGTGCCTGGTCCTCACAATCATGAATGGAGGTGACCTGAAGTTTCACATCTACAACATGGGCAACGCAGGTTTTGACAATGAGCGGGTCACCTTCTACGCTGCAGAGATTTGCTGTGGCCTTGAACATTTGCACCGGGAGGGCATTATTTACAGGTGAGAGGGGATGGAGTTATTTCCTGTTTCCAAGAAGGTAGAGAAAGGGCTATGGTAAAGTCTCCCTCGTTACACAGTTGGCATGATGGAGAAGTGGTCATCATCCTTCATCTGATTAAATGTTGAGTTATCAAATGGCAGAGGGAATCAACTGCTAAGCCAACGTCACTCTACCTGGCACACTCCATGTGGATTCTTTAGGAGTTGTGACCAACAATTTCAGAGGGAGAGATATGTTAAACCATAATGGATTAGACAAAAGGATCCAGTTGTCTCTATAGCCCTTTGGAATGCCAAACCCCAGCGTGGTCCTTTACCCCTCTGAGATTTAAAGTAGCACTCAACGCATAACAGTCGCCCGCCTGTCATTTGAGGTCACTGACCAAATGAATCTTCATAGACCTAAGCTTGAAATCAAGTGTCCATCTGTAGACCTTTGAAAGCACCTTCCTAATAGTGGTCATCTCTCTCTTTGAGATTCAAAGCTTTCCCAGATCGCTTTGTAACACTCAGACTTACTGCTGGATAACATTCATCGGTGAAAACTGCAACAGAATGCTGTAGAGGGTGGTACTTCTGATCACTGAGCTTGGTGGACAATCACAACCTCTTCCAAAAAAACCCCAAAACCTTCCATTTCCACTCCCCCCTTCCTCTTCTTCATAACCCCCTCCCCTTCTCGAGCAGCCAGCATTCCACACCCATGAGTGTTCTGCATTCTAATTGGTCTGTTTGGGAGAAACACACTCTATTAACCTTTCTCTCTAAGTATATTTTCTATTTCTACATAAATTGGGATTCTCCCAAGTTTACTACTAGCTCCCTCTTGTGTCTCTACGGTGCCAAGACACAGGAGCCATGCCTGTGCAGTTAAAACCTGCCCTGGGAGTGTTCCCTGGCCTTTCATCTTCCTTGTAAAGGGGAAGTACAAACATACGATCTAGAAATATTGTGTTATTGCTCTATATTTGATCTACAGCAAGAGCCTCTCTTGTGAGTCCCTCTCAGGTGGGACTAGAACTTGCGGTCTCCTAGTGATTGTCATTGGCAATATAGTATGTATTGTGGTTGTTGTTAGTTGCGAAGTCGTGTCCGACCCATCGCGACCCATGGACAACGTTCCTCCAGTTCTTCCTGCCCTCTACCATCTTCTGGAGTCCATTTAGGTTCACGCCTACTGCTTCAGTGACTCCATCCAGCCACCTCATTCTCTGTCGTCCCATTCTTCTCTTGCCCTCAATCTTTCCCAGCATTAGGCTCTTCTCCAGTGAGTCCTTCCTTCTTATTAGGTGGCCAAAGTATTTAAGTTTCAACTTTAGGATCTGGCCTTCTAAAGAGCAGTCAGGGTTGATCTCTTCTAGGACTGACCGGTTTGAACGCCTTGCAGTCCAAGGGGCGCATACATTCATTAAAAAACAGTGCATTAGAACACCCTCGCCCATTTTTTTAACACCATAAATTGCTTTATTTTAGAGTAGACAAATAGCACTATAATAAAATCATGCTTTGATTTGCCTAAAACCTATCTTCAATAATATGCACAACTCATCTGGTCCCAAATGGAACGAAAATAATCAGAAAGTGTTTAGCAAATGGGAAAAAATTGTATTGCGTTATTTATATTCCTTTATTAAAAGATATTCATTTCTTTAAAAAACCCCATAGCACTTTACTGCGATAAAACAATAAAATTAGAAAAATACTATCATGCAATGCATACAGTAACATGCATTGGATTATAGTACAAATACAAAAATAAATACAAATTAATTCAAATGTGGAAATTAAGGAGCCTCATTTTCATGTAGTCCCTGGCAAAGAATTAGGGGAATTCCTGACTATTATTAGACAAGATCATTCTAACTTAAAATTTACTCTGTCTTCTTGAACAAACCAGCAAAATCAGCCAGTATATGTGACTAACTTATCTAATAATTGACAGGAATCTATTTTAAAGGATTATTTCAGATTTGCACATAGTAGCCAACCAGACAAGTGGTGGTGTAAATTTTGGGTTCTTTTCTAGTCATGTAAAAGGGAGAGAAGGGAAAAAGACGTGTGGATGATTCTTGGCAGCTACCTGTCTGTACATGTGCAAACATTCCTTTCATGGATTTAGCCATTGTATTATGCCATGGTTTCTTAACCATGTTTATTCAGCAATACGTCATCAGACTAACCGCACTCTGGCTTAAGTGAAGTTTGAATCAACATGACCATGCTTGCAGGAAAGTTGAAGGAGTTGTAATCAAACGCCTCTCAAGAACACTAGTCTGAGGAAAGCTTTTTTCGAAATAAACATTACCACGAAGTGAGCAAACCACCAGGAAATGTGGCAAGGAAGGCTATTAAAAATAACTGAAAAAGGAAAAGGACTGTCCCAGTTAGAAGCTGGTCCTCTGGGCTTTGAAAGATGAGAAAGAAGTATATTTGGATGTAATTTTACTGGAAGGTGCCTAGACAAAAATCAAACCGTCTGTTATGTTTGTAAGCTTCAAGTGTTCTGGTTAATTTCTTTATTTGTATTTGTATCCTGCCTTTGTTATTTTTTTTTAACAAGGTGGTGAACATATTTAATGTTCCTTTTTCCTCCTGTTTTTCCCACAACAACTCTTTGATGTGAATTGGGCTGAGAGAGGGTGACTGGCCCAAGATCATCCACCTGGCTTTCGTGCTTCAGGAGGGGACTAGAACTCAGGGTCTCCTAGTGATTGGCCCAAAGTTATCTGGCTATTTTTCAGACTAAGACTAGACTTGAACTCACAATCTCCCAGTTTCTAGGCTGGTGCCTTAACCGCTAGACCAAACTGATTTTCAAACTGGTTACCTGGTTCTTATTCTGGGTTGTGTGTCTATCTCCCCTGCAGGGACCTAAAGCCAGAGAACATTCTCCTGGATGATGATGGTGAGTGCCACATGTCACATGTTTGAATTGTTCCTGTTATAGACTTTCAGAATCACTTTTATCTACAAATGTCAGAGGTCACAGATCTTCCTTCATTCGAATCATCTTTAATGAAAAGAAGGACAAGGGGGGACATGATAGCAGTCTTCCAATATCTCAGGGGCTGCCACAAAGAAGAGGGAGTCAAGCTATTCTCCAAAGCACTTGAAGGCAGGACAAGAAGCAACGGGTGGAAGCTAACCAAAGAGAGAAGCAACCTAGAACTAAGGAGAGACTTCCTGACAGTTAGAACAATTAACCAGTGGAACAACTTACCTCCAGAAGTTGTGAATGTTCCAACACTGGAGGTTTTTAAGCAGAGATTGTACAACCATTTGTCTGAAATGGTATAGGGTTTCCTGCCTGAGCAGGGGGTTGGATTAGGAGACCTCCAAGGTCCCTTTCAACTATTCTATTCCTATTCTGTTCTATTCTAATTCTAATTCTAATTCTATTTTCCATTCTATATTCTATTCTATTCTATTCTCGCTGAACTTTAGTGCCTCTACAACAACGCAGACACATTTTTGTGAAGATTAGAATTTTGGCTACTTCTGTCTTTCCTCAGAGCTGTATCCATCATGAAAGATCACAGGATCCCCATCATAATTTCGTATCCTCTATGATCACCTTCTCCCTTCTTCTACCTAGGGCATATACGGATCTCAGATCTGGGGCTGGCCATTAAGATCCCCGAAGGTGACACCATCCGTGGCCGTGTAGGAACTGTGGGCTATATGGGTATGTGTTGGAGAACTGCTCCAGGTCTTGTTATACTGCTGACTCAAGGAGAAAGCTGGCTTGATCCGTGGACCTTCTTTTTTGGGTCTGTCCAACCACACAGGCTGAGAGGACATGGTACTTTAAAACAGGGGCAGAGAAGCTATTTTAGACTGAAAATCAAATTTCTATCACTGCATGTTAGTCCTTGACTTGCAGCCACAACTGGGGCCAGAATTTCTGTTACTAAGTAAGGCAGCTATTAAATCAGTCATGCCCGATTTTAAAAACTTTTGTGCCATGGTTGTTAACCAGTTGCAAGTCATTTTTTTCAGTGCTGTTGTAACTTTGAGCCAAGATGGCTCACGGCTCACTCCAGGCATTTGATCCTGACCAGCTCAAGGTTGACTCAGCCTTCCATCCTTCCGAAGTCGGTAAAATGAGGACCCAGATTGTTGGGGACAATAGGCTGACTCTGTAAACTGCTTAGAGAGGGCTATAAAGCAGTATATAAGTCTAAGTGAAGCGGTATATAAATCTAAGTGCTATTGCTTATGCTACTTGAATGGTTGGTAAATGTATGGTTGTATATCAAGGACTGCCTGTATTATTATTATTGCTGGTTCTGTTGTTATGCATGTATAGGCCATTTATAAGTAAAATAAGGGGAAGAGTCCAACAAAATCTTATCAATCCAGAAATGGTTTGTTACTGCCTTTTTTTTTTTAGCTTTCCAAATTAGACTACAAACCTAGACTTTCTCTCATTCAGGAACTAACCAGGTCAAACCCTGTACCACTTTTTCAACCAGTCACTCAGTTGAGTGCTGTTAACACATCTAATTCCTTCCCCTTATAAGGGGAAGAGGTCCTTGCCCATTGGATTCTCCATTATCACCTCTGATGGGTAATGGTTCTCCAAGAAGCAAATCAGAGAAGATTCTTTCTCATAATTTGCCACCTGATCAAGTGCTTTACGTGAAATTATTGTCTCTGTGCTCTCTCCACCCTTCTCCTCCTCTCCCCAGCTCCTGAAGTAATTAACAATGAGCGCTACTCCTTCAGCCCAGACTGGTGGGGGCTTGGCTGCCTCATCTATGAGATGATTGAGGGCCAGTCACCATTCCGGGCCCGCAAGGAACGGGTGAAGAGAGAAGAGGTGGAAAAGCGGGTTCAGGAAGACCACGAACAGTATTCAGACAAGTTCTCTGAAGATGCCAAAGCCATCTGCAAGTCGGTGAGCGATGAGAGAAAGATGACAAAGAGGAGAAAGCCAGAAAATAANGCTGCCTCATCTATGAGATGATTGAGGGCCAGTCACCATTCCGGGCCCGCAAGGAACGGGTGAAGAGAGAAGAGGTGGAAAAGCGGGTTCAGGAAGACCACGAACAGTATTCAGACAAGTTCTCTGAAGATGCCAAAGCCATCTGCAAGTCGGTGAGCGATGAGAGAAAGATGACAAAGAGGAGAAAGCCAGAAAATAAGTAGGAATCTTTGCCATGAGTCTGTAGTATCAGATGGAGAATCCTACATCCCCTGAGCTGAGATCACCTCTGGGTGACTACATGAACTCATTTTGGCACTATCAAAAAGTAGTTTGCCATTGTCTTCTGCTGGGATATTGTTTCAGCTTCTCAATTGAATTCTGCTCAGTCTGTCACGTAAGGACCAGCTAAGAGTTTTGTGATCAGCCAAGATCGGCAAGGGAAAGCTGCTTAACTGGGCATAAATAACTTGTGTCCATGTGTATATATAACACAGTGGTTCTCAACCTGTGGGTCGGGACCCCATTTGGGGTCGATCGACCATTTCATGGGGGTCGCCAAGCAAGGCTTTCCGCCATTTTTTTTGTCCGCCATTTTTTTCCCCCTTTTCCAGCGGGTGCCTTACCTCCCTTGGGCTGGGCCAGCTGGTGGTCGGCCTGCTCCGTCTCTGCCGCTTGCCAGCTACGCCTCGGCCGGTGCAGGGGGCGGAACCACGCATGCGCGGCGCTCCCAGGCAGGGAAAGTCCTCGACGTACGACTGGTTGGGTAGTCCTCGACTTACGACCGGTTTAGTCCTCGACTTACAACCAGTTTAGTCCTCGACTTACGATCGGTTTAGTCCTCGACTTACGACTGGTTGGGGTCGCGGCATTAAAAAGGTTGAGAACCACTGATATAACAGGTGCACAAGTATATATGTGGCTGGGTCGGATAGAGTGTATTTAGTCAAGCAGCCCCAAATGTTACTCACATAAGCTTACCAGATTCCCACTTTGCAGGGGTTTTCAAAAACAATAGTATAAATAATTATTTTACATTAAGAGAAGCAGCAAGGGGTATTTCTGATCACAGCCATGACATGCTATTGTTGTAATGCATGTTTAGACTTTAATGGAGTCCCCATTATTTCATTTCTATTGGTTTAATTTTTAAAATCAGTTGACATTGATCATATGTTTTTTAAAAAAAATGACTCTGACAAGATGGATGAGTCCTTTCTCTTCTGCACGGACACTTTCTTTTCGTTATAAGAAGTTGTATTGACAGGACCAAATATTTTGGACTCAAGTGGGTTTGAGAACCAGCTTGGTTTACGTTCCATGGCAGAAACAGCCAACTTGGGCTTGGTTTACAAAGTCTACTTTACAAAGTTCTGAGTTCAGCGTTGTCACAGGCTTTACTTACAAGAAGTTCTTTTTTTCTCCCCCCCCCCTTTCAGCTCCTAACTAAAGACTCCAAACAGCGGCTCGGAAGCAAAGGTGAGGGGGCCGTCCAGGTGAGGCAGCACCCATTCTTCAGGACAATCAATTTCAAGCGACTGGAAGCTGGCATTATGAAGCCCTCCTTTGTGCCAGATGTAAGTTCTTACAAATAAGAGTGAGGAACTCAAGGAGTTGTTGTTGTTAGTTGCGAAGTCGTGTCCGACCCATCGTGACCCCATGGACAACGTCCATCCAGGCCTTCCTGTCCTCTACCATCTTCTGGAGTCCATTGAAGCTCACGCCTCCTGCTTCAGTGATTCCATCCAGCCACCTCATTCTCTGTCATCCCCTTCTTCTCTTGCCTTCCATCTTTCCCAGCATCAGGCTCTTCTCCAGCGAGTCCTTCCTTCTCATTAGGTGGCCAAAGTATTTGAGTTTCAACTTCAGGATCTGGCCTTCTAAAGAGCAGTCAAGGAGACAGATAGACAAATAGATGAGCAAATATATTATCTGCAGGGGTGAGGCGTTAAGCCAGTGCCAAAGTTTTCTCTTTCTCCAGTTGTTGCTACTGTTGTTATTCTGTATTGAGATTTTTTCTTCTTCTAAATTAAGGTTAAATCTATTTTAGGCTGTTTCTGAGTTTCCTGCTTCAGCAAAGGAGAATCCCCTGGTTTTTGGCAATTGTGGATGCACAATTTGTTTCCCCAAATGTAGGAAATTCTAGTTGCTTCAAAATGAAAAGGAGGCAGGAAGTTTCTTGTAGCTTTGGACCATGAACTGTCAAATCTGTGATACTTCAGGCTTTTAGTTGTCTTCTTTTTCTCTCCAGTAATGGAGATCTCCTCTTTGCTATCATCTTTATGGGAATCCTTCAGATCTTGAAAGAGTAGTATCATATCCTTCTTCCTCACCCTAATCATGTTAGGTTTCTTCTGCTTTTTGACATAGTATTGGTGTCCACATATTTTATCCATCATCCTCACCAGCTCCCCCCACAACACTACAATTCCAAATCTGTCCCAAAGAAGCTAAATAAAAGAATAGAAATTATCTTATAGGATTCCTCAGTATCCACTGTAGGCATTTTTAGTTAGATTTTGTATCATAAACTGAGCTATAGAAGAGACCTTATAGACCTTCCTGGTTCAATTCACAGTTGAGGTCATGAATTTACAAACCATGCCCAACACATGGCCATCCAGACCCCTCCTTTTAAAGGAGAATCCTCCACCATTATTCTACCATTGCTTATTTATTATTATCTTCAGGAAACTATTCCTAATGGTCATTCTGAATCGTCTGTCTTTTAATTTCAGCTTGTTAGTCCCAGTCCTTCCTTTGGCTTTCAAAGGGAACAAATCCGTCTCTTCTTGCACATGACTTGCACATCTGGATATGTAAGTCCTAGAGATGATAAACTTACTGGAATCCTTGTCTTTCCCTTAGCCTCGGGCTGTGTACTGTAAGGACGTACTGGACATTGAACAATTCTCCACTGTGAAGGGCGTCAACTTAGACCAAACCGACAATGACTTCTATGCCAAATTTGCCACAGGTTGTGTCCCAATCCCCTGGCAGAACGAGGTAAGGAATGGACACTTGCACATATTTATTTATTTAAAAACTGCCCGTCTCCCTCGTGGAGGGACTCTCTGCAAATCAGGGAAGAGACTGATGTATAGTAGTTGAACACTACCTCTAAACTAAGAGAAGATCATTGGCAAAACCTCTTGATCTGAGGAGGCACATAGAGCTGGGAGTCGGTTGTCCCAAATGTCCATTCTGTCCAGCTGTTTTAAGGATTTTATTATATAGCACTTTGTTTCCCCACCATTCTTACCAACATAACTTCTTCTTCCTTTCATCTAGATGATCGAGACAGAATGCTTTAAGGATCTCAACATCTTTGGACCAAATGGCACCCGATCCCCGGATCTGGACTGGAAGCAGCTCCCTGACCCACCCAAGCGTAGCCTCTTGCAACGGCTCTTCCGGCGTAACGTAAGATCCAATCTTGTGTCCCCCCCACCTTTTTTTGCTATATATCCTTGCAGCTGCCAACCCCATACTTACATTCTTCAGTACGACTTAACCTGATTAAGCAATGTAGCAGTGTTGTACCTTCAACTTCAAGATAGACTTGATGCACTTTGTACGTCAGAAGTTTATTTCTGAATGGATATACTTCCAGGTAAACATGCATATGAGTCTTCTCCAAACTGACCACCCACCAGATGTGGGGACCTCGGTTCCTGGAACTCTCAGCAATGGCCATGCTGGCTGAAGAATTCTGGGCAATGAAGTCCCATATTTGGAAGTCACTCAGGTTGGAGAAGCCTGGTATATAGGACCTCTGCCGGAGACTGGAGGAATATTATGTGGCTCACTAATAAAGCACTGCAGGAGTTCCCAAGTTAGATCTCTGGGGCACTTGTTCTATCCTTCCTGAAACTCTAGAAAGCTGCTGCCAGTCAGCCTGGGCAATATTAGTCTAAATCAGTGTTTTCCAACCAGGGCGTCTTCCAGATTTATGCAGTAACTCCATCAGTCTTCAGCAATTGCAGGCTGGGTGAGGAATTCTTGGAGTTGAAGTCCGTACATTCCAGGAGTTGTTGTGGGGGGGTGGGGGAATTCTGGAACAGTGGCCCAAAACTGAATTAGGCAGTTTCTTAGGTTCCTTAAATCTTTGGATTCTTCTGTTTGAAGAATGGTGGCAGATTTGTGGTTACGTGGTTGAGCAACTGCATGGCACAAATAAAGCCTTGGGTTTTATTGCTGGCATCTCCAAGAACAGAACAACGAGAGAGAGCTTGCCTGTTAGTCATGCTAAATAGCAGACTCCCCACCCCACCCCACCCTCCTCACTCACCTTTTTCCCTCTCTTCATTTTTCCCGATAGCCAAGTGACTTCACCATCAGCACCAGTGTACATTCCAACTTGTCGGCAGCCCCCTCACCAGCTTGGCCCATGGCACAGGCTCCCTCCTGACCTCTGGAACTAGCCCTCATCCTTTGCCTTCTCAGGATTGCCTTAGGCTGACATGTGGAAGTCCCCGTCTTGGGCCAGGCTCTGTGACTGCTGGGAACTGAAGGACCGCAGCCTTCCAATCGGCAGGGCAGCAGTGGGCCAGAAGACCTTTGCCACCTCCTGGTGCTGATGTGGATTGTGGGCACGGAGACTCTTCTTCTCCAGAACCTTGGCTGCTGCTGCTCGTTGACAGGGTCTTCCTTCATCTTTCTGTACTTTGACTGCAAGGGGAGCATCTACGGCTCTTCCCCCCCCCCCCCCGTTCTCTTTGTCTCATCACCTCCTGACCCAGCTTTCCTGGGAGATCAACTGGGGAGAGGTACCTGAGAAGAGTACCACCAATGATATGTGGAGAACCACCAATGATACCTGGAGATGGCAGAGAACCACCAATGATACCTGGAGATGGCAGAGAACCACCAATGATACCTGGAGATGGCAGAGAACCACCAATGATACCTGGAGATGGCAGAGAACCACCAATGATGCCTGGAGATGGCAGAGATGAGGGCTGGAGCCTCAAACTGGAGAGAAGAAGAAAATGCACAGCTTGGACAAAGTTGTAATGGGAATAATGAGAAAGACTCCCTGCTCTTGCATTGGCATTTCCAGAGACTCGTGGATAAGTGTGTGTTGGTTTGTGTGTGGACGTGTATGGAACTTCTAACTCCTTGGAGTTCATTCAGGGTTTTTTCCAAGGATCTCTCCCACCCTCACCCTCAGTTCTACAGCCTGGGGCCATTGCAAAGCCAAAGAAGACAAAGAAAGTTGAAGAGCAATTGATTGTCTTTCCTTTAGGACATTCTTTCTTGGCTGGTCATCCTCTAGCTGTGCTGGACTGTCCGGCACTTGTCATCTCTTAGCAATACAGCCTTTAGACCAGATAGTTGGGCGGGGTCAACTGGAATCCAGGAAGCGTGGAAATCCCCAGGTGCAGAACGCTGCTTTAGAGGCACTCAGTAGAGGAAAAGACAGAGAGATGGATGACATCTCAGCCTGCAGAAAGTCTTTCAGTGTTCCCAAACCCTGGCTTTAACCTCAACCTGCAGTGTTGAAGATATATTTTTTAAAATCCTACATATTTTAACGTTTATTACAATTGTTTCCATAGACCGGTCTACTCAATTTATTTTATTTCTTTTCCTTTCTGCCTCTGCATTTCCCCCATTCTCACGTGACCTTTCCTTTTTCTCTTTGTGCCACCCAGCCTAGTTGGATCCTGATGAATGAAAGCAGATGCGGGGCCTATCCTGACTGCGATCGTATGCGCAAGTACGATGGAACCAGATCATTTCATCCGATCCGATTGGTTCCCAAAAGTTCAACATCCAAATGGGATGATAATGGAAAGGCGAGGCTGCAGGTGGAACAATTGTCTTTTAAAACACTCCTCTGCATTAGAAAACAAAACTTCTCTGCAAGTAGAAAAGCAGAATAAAGACTGGGTTAAAGCTTTAAGCCGTAATATTCTGGATTTCTGCTTTCAAAGAAAGTCCTCTACCCCAAGTACAAGACTCAAGTGCATTGGGCCTATTTTAATTTTTCCTCTAGGCTGGGGCAGGACTGATACAAAAGTAAATGAATCCCAACCAATTGGAGCCAAAGGCTTAGCAAAACGAAGGGTGTTTTCAGAAAAGGAATGGAATTTGAGGTCACAGTGCTGTCTTCAAAAGGCTGAGTTTTGATTACCCTCATGCAGTGGCCCCCAACCTTTTGGGCACCGGGGACTGGTTCTGTAGGGAGATGTTTTCTCCACGGACCAGAGAGGGCATGGGTTAGCGTGCTGCCTGCATCCCACTGACAGGGCTTTGCTCATGTCTGCGGCCCAGTTTCTGGAATATCACAGCCCAATGTCGGTTCACCGACCAGGGGTTGGGGACCCTTGCCCTAATCTGCTTCATTTCAGGGGGACAAAAGGGTCATTTGGTTGCTGCTATTGCTAAATAATTGGAAATCCCTGTTGCTTCTTTTCTTTGAAAACGATGGAAAGGATGATGTAGAGCAGGGGTAGTCAACCTTGGCTCTTTTATGACTCGTGGACTTCAACTCCCAGAATTCCTGAGCCAGCACATTCTGGGAGTTGAAGTCCACGAGTCATAAAAGAGCCAAGGTTGACTACCCCTGATGTAGAGAGAAATGAATGAGGAGAGCCTTTCTCTCTGGACCTAGAAAAGAAGTAAGAGAAAGGGAAAGGACAACAGTGGAGAGGAAGTAGAAGACTCACTATAGGGAACCTTGTTCCCAAGTTTCTCCAAACCCAAAGCCGGAAACAGGTCTCTGTGTTGAAGAACAGTGTGGAAGTTAAGATACTTTTGGCTCTCCAGAGGCTGGTGAAACACAATTCTCAGCATCTCTTACTTTGAGCCCTTCCTAAGTGGCCCTGCTGGAAATGGTCATTTTGACAACTATAGGTTTTCTACTTCTAAATAGGGCTAGATTTTCTTTAGCTTCTAATAGACCTACTTTAGCGCTCCGGTTTGACTCTGTTTCCCATCTTCCCTTCTTTTCAAATTGGGCCGTTTGTTTTTATGATCATAGGAAGCTCTGAAGCAGGGGGTCTCCAAACTGGGCAACTTTAAGACTCGTGGACTTCAACTCCCAGAATTCCTCAGCCAGCCCTGAGGGCTGGCTGAGGAATTCTGGGAGTTGGAGTCCACGAGTCTCAAAGTTGCCACGTTTGAAGACACCCCTGCTCTAAAGGATAGGATACTGGATCTCTGGACAAAGCTGCTGCTGTCTCTTCAGGCTGCCACTGTGTGCTGCTCTTTCACTGTGGCTCTTTTCTGTGGCTCCCACCGAGACCAAAACAATGCATCCGTTCTAAGATAACCACGGGGAGCTTCCCAAATTCTGAGGCTCTCCCTTCCAAAGTAATTTGCAAGGGGTTGGCTCTCAATCTGCCAAGGCCATCTATTTTTACTCAGAATTCCTTCTGTTTATCTTATCGCTTGGCTGTTGCATGACCTGCTGAGGGAAGGGCTTCCTCTCAGTCTCTTTTTTTTTAAATAGGCAGAGATGTCCTTGGAGTCAAAAGGACTTTCTGGGTGAAATATCAAGGAAACTCTGCAAGCTGGTTTCTCAGCAGTCAGACTTCAGCGTAGGACAGTGGTGGCGGACCTACGGCACGCGTGCCAGAGGCGGCACTCAGAGCCCTCTCTGTGGGCACACCTGCCGCCGCCAACGTGTGCAGGTCCATTAGGCCGCTGCGGGCACCCGGAGCGGCAGCCCCACCCAGCAACAAAGGCGAAGCAGCTGGCTAGCAAGCTTGAGTAGAGGTGGTAGAGCGCGCCCCCATGCGCTCGCTGGCCTCTGTGTGCGGGGGCTGATGGCGTCAGGCAGCAGCCGCCCCTGCCTCGCCTTGCCCTGCAACAATGGCACCCCCGCCATACCCCCTGCCTCGTCTCGCAGTACGAGCCTCCTGCCCACCGCCCCACCCACCAGAGACTCCCTGGATCTCCCCCAATCTTGCCCAGCCCCCACAGGTATCCCCCCCACGAGCAACAACAAGGTGGCCATGCCCACCCCAGCCACGCCCACTCAGTCTGCCGTGACCACCACAGCCACACCCACTCAGTGGCCACCACCCCCCACCCCCCTGAGGGCACCACAATGTTGATGTGGCCCTGGCACTTTGGGATAAATAAGTAGGCTTTGGGTTGCGGTTTGGGCACTCGGTCTCTAAAAGGTTTGCCATCACTGGCATAGGAATTGCCCTCTGATCCTCCAGCGGCAGGTGTGAAAATTCGGGTCCACACTTGACAAGCTGAGCCCCACTGAGCAGCTTGACCTGAGGAATGAAGCTCATCTGTTCATTAAATCCCAGGTTTTTGGCAAGCCCCATCTAGAAAGTTTGATTTCTGGAGGCTCAACTCTTTAAGGAAGACTACAGACCAGAGGCTCTTTTGAGGCTAGAGAGATAGGGGCCTTCCTCCTGCGCAAATGTCACCATGCTGATATTTTGGATGGATGCCTGACTTTTATTAAACTGTAGGGTAAACATAGTAGAACCAGGAACAAATTGCAGTCTTGGTCTCTGGATGCCATTGTTTAAAAACTGCACAAATATGGATCACGGTCAAGGAAATAAAGACTTCTCTTAATGCCCAAGGTAAACAACTGGACTTGCTGAGCTGTTGGCATTTTTCCACTCCTTTACTTTTTTGGAATCTCAGTTCCTTCTCTAACTTCAGTTGCTCTAACTAAATCTGTAGCATGAGCTCTTGTTTGAAAACAAAAACAATCTTAAGTTAGTAAAAAAAATAAATAGGCATGAAATCCTGGCACAGGGCCCACATACCCACTTTGTCCATCCGTCCTCTGTCCTCTAGGGTAGCAGTAAGTGCTACACCTGCCCCCCCCCCTCCAAAGTTGCCTGCTTTTTTTCCAGGTGCCGGTCTAACGCCATTTCTCTAAAAGGTCAAGCAACAGATGATTGCAAAGAGATGGAACCGCACAGGTGGGTGGGTGGCTTTGCGTAGGGAGAACACACAGCAGCAAACGGGACCAAGCTTCCTTTCCACCTTCCATTTCTGTGCAACAGCCGACTCTCTCTCCCTCCGTCTGTGGTTCATTCCACAAAGCTGCCTGGGTTACCATTAGAACACAAATGCAGAGTGGGAATCCCAGAATTTCTTTTTCTTAATATGTAATTCAGCTCCAGAAATTAAGTCAGCGGTTCTCAACCTATGGGTCACGACCCCATTTGGGGTCGATCGACCATTTCACGGGGGTCGCCAAGCAAGGCTGTCCGCCATTTTTTTTGTCCGCCATTTTTTCCCCTTTTCCGGCGGGTGCCTTACCTCCCTTGGGCTGGGCCAGCTGGTGGTCGGCCTGCTCCGTCTCTGCCGCTTGCCAGCTATGCCTCGGCCGGCGCAGGGGGTGGAACCACGTATGTGTGGCGCTCCCGGGCAGGGAAAGTCCTCGACTTACGACCAGTTGGGTAGTCCTCAGCTTACGACCGGTTTAGTCCTCGACCTATGACCGGTTTAGTCCTTGACTTACGACCGGTTTAGTCCTTGACTTACGACCGGTTGGGGGTTGCAGCATTAAAAAGGTTGAGAACCACTGAATTAAGTGGTGCCTCCCTCCCCTGAGCAGCCAACATGGACAGTTGCTCAGGGGAGGGAGGCACCACTTAATTCAGTGGTTCTCAATCCTTTTTCAGTGGTTCTCAATCCTTTTTAATCGTGTGAACCAATTCAAAGAAGTTCCAAGCAGAAGATGTTGACCCTACTTTTCTAAGAATAAATGGATTTGGATTGCTTTGACTTTCAAGAACAGAGGTTCTAGAACGAACCTCGGCTCTAATATTAACAGATCAGGCAGAAAATTGCTCAGGTTGTTGTAAAGAGCTATGGGCAGGCTCCATGCCAGATTGGGCAAGAATTTGGGGGAAATGGTACAATGGAATACCCCAAGGGGAAACCAATTAACTGTTGAGTCTTTATCAGCAGTCTAAAGCAGGAAGGTCTCTCTGCCATGTGTTGACAGTATACTTGTGGCAGGGGGCGTGGTGCTCATACTAGAAGACATGCATATACTTTTCCACATGAAGGAAGGCCAGTCCAAATGCAGCATCTTTGGGCAGACATGATGCTCAAATAATGATCTCATCCATGCCTGCTCCCCTTCTTAAAGAGGTGGATAAGATTCTATTGCCCAAATGGCTTTGTACAAGTAGTCCTCAATCTTCCATTGCTTAGCAAAGTGGTTCTTGAATGAGTCATGCCCAATTTTACAACATTCTTTGCCACAGTTCTTTAGCCAATTCGGCTTCCCCTGAGTTTAATCCTTGGAAGTTGGCTGGGAAGGTTCCAAGTGGTAACCGGGTGACCCCAGGATGCTACAGCTGTCATAAATACATGTTGGTTGCCGAACACTTGAATTTTGATCAGATGATCGTAGGGATGTTGCAACTATTCTAAGTAGGAAGATCAGTTGTAGGTTACTTTTTTCAGTGCTGTTGTACCTATGAACAGTTGCCAAATGGATGTAAGTAGAGGACTATCTGTAGGTTGCCCGCTGCCCTCTAGTAGAAGGAAAGGCTATCTCAGGATTAATGCCATTGCACAAGATTCTGGAGATCCTGCTAATCGAAATAGTAGCATCTCTTGACATATTGACTCCTAGTATTCTTCCAAAAATTTAAGTAACAGAAAGGGAAATGATTCTATAGATCATAGGTCATCCAATGAACAGTGTTTATATCATTTAATGTTAATTCAATCTATAAAATCAACTACAGGTTTGGTCTAAAATAGGTCAGCTGCTGCTGGGCTGTAACTGAACAAATGGTCACACATTGTGAGCCTTCTGCCTAAAAATCCCTTAGGTCAATCCCCATCACATACTTTATCGCAGACCTCTTTCTCACGTACACGTAGCTACAGACAAGGAATGGGTGAAAAAAATACAACTTTCCGCCAAAATCAGGAAGAGAGAATAAAATCTTATTTTCTGAAATTGTGATTCGCACATCACGCCAAGCCATAAAACGGCTGGCTGGTTTGGAGTTTTACTGTAAGGTGTGTTTGCAGCCAGGTGTAGCTTATTTAATAAGTTGTGGCT